TTGGCATTTTTATTTATTATTTTATATATGTTTCGCCCTTTGCCAATGAATAATAGTGCAAAGTTTCAACTGGATCTTGTGGAAAAAACAACGTGACAGACAGACAGAGTGAGTTGATTTAAGCTTTGTACAAAGTTTTTTCAAACGCTTGTTCGCTCTAGGACTTTGATCTCATTGTTTCTGTTAAACTGTTGAACACTTGAGCATGGACTTAGATCTTAAGATCAAATAGTGAAAGTAGCCAACTTCGAGTCTTGTGAATCCAGAAGATAATAGGATTACTGCGGAGAGAGACATGGGAAGGTGTGCACTGTCAGATATATTATCTATAGCTGAGTGATCTGTACACGATAAACGTTAGGACATGTATGTGGATACATTTGTCAGACTGTATGTTATTACATTTAAGACCTAAGTTTAACTTATGTAAACATAACGTGTGTTTGTGTCAATGCTGTTAACACAAAATGAGTTATTAGCTAGCTCATGTTCCCGTGATAAAAGAAATTTCGTTGTAGCTGGCTTTGATCATTTTTTGTTACCTGAACTAGATGTGATGCGTTATATAAGAAATCAAACTAGTTCTCTTTTTCTGTATGACTCTCTCTTTCTTTTCTTTCCTGCTTTTCTTTCTTTCTCTCTCTATATCTATCTATCTATCTATCTATCCTACATACCTACTTATCCATCCATCCATCCATCCATCCACATATCCATCCATCCATCCATCCAATCATCTTTCTAAAGACATTGGTAAATATAAGATGTTTAATGACTCCCTTGACAGTGAAATCAGGCTGAAGTACTCTCTGGCCATGGCCACATTCTTATATACTTATTACGAATCTTTGATGCTGACTGCAGAGGAGGATCCTAGCAATGGACATGGGATACTCCAGAAAGATCATATATATCTCTTACAAAAACTACATCACAAACGAAGAGATTAGAGACAGTATTAGTAAGGCGATTGGACCCCACGATGACCTGCTAACCAATGTTTAAAGAAACGCAAACTAAAACTCTATGACCATATTCCAAGATCTCAACACCTTCCATAAAGACAGTACCAGGAAAAAGAAAAAGAGGCAGACGGAGCAAGCGACGGGAAGACAACATAAAAGAATGAACGGGCCTGCCATTGAAAGAGATTCTATCCTAGGCAAAAGATATAGAGGAATGGAGAAAGACAGATCTTGCCTGGTGCCCCAATGGTTCAACAGACTTATTAGGGATAGGTGAAGGTGAATATGATGAAGGTGCTACCGCAAGTATCAATGTCTAACACCTTAAAAAAAACAACAAAAAAATAACAGCAGAGACTTGCCAGTGACACTGATTAGCCAGCGACTAAAACTATCGATTAGCTATTCTTTTGTTGGTTTTGTCCTGGTTGATTATACAGATATATAGATGGGGGTGGGATGGAGTGAGTGAGAGAGGGAGGGAGGAAGATATTACAGCTTCCTCCGTTTTCAAACTCCTGTGTTTACATTTAATTAGACATAGATGTTAGCCTACTGCAGCGTTAATCTGTTATCCATACAAACTAATCTTGGGGGCAGACCTTACCTCATTCCTTTACTTTTAAAGTGGTTAATAGTTAATACTTTAAGACTATAGTGCATGCCTTCACCCTCCACCCCCCCCCCCATCTCCTCTACGCTTCACTGGTTTCGTCATAAATTTTGCAACTACTCTTCTAATCGCTGACCCTACCCATATATGGACGTGGGCCGTTCAAACCGTTACACAGCTAAAACACAAACACACAACTCTACACACGCAACTGACCAAAAAAAAAAAAAAAAGCCAGCCGATGTGTTACAGGAACCGTTATACAACTAACCACAAGACACGTGCTCTTGGTCATCTATTGTTAGGCATCCGGCTTAAAATCCAGGTCGCGTGCAAGCTGACCAGTTAGTAGTTCAACTGACCATCAACAGTTTAGCGGGAAAGCTATAAAGGTAAGCAACTAATTTAGAAGTATCACTAGTGGCCACATCTATACATTTTATACAGCTTGTGGTGAGTTTGACAAATTTCAGATTAACAATTAATTAGATGCATAGTGATTTACATACATTTAAAATTAAGCATGTATAGATTGCTACTATGTAGGCCTACCTGTGGTCTGTAGGTATTAACCTATGGTATGGGGTTCATTAAAAACATTATTAAACATCACCACCGACGGCCAATACCCCAACCGGTCAATATTGTTTCACATGCAATAACCTGAAAGAAATTTACAATATGTCAGACGTCCGGCAAAATGAGGACATGTCTTCCCCATTTTTAGCTCGCGTTCTCAATCCTTCAGGGCCTAAAGTATGTCTGGCTTTCACTGTTTTATAAACATTCACTAAATGGATGTATTGTCATACATACAGTAACGTAATGGCGCATTCAACGTATAGATGTGGATCATGTTAAGTTTACAAATAAAATATAAGAACCTAACAAAAAACCTTATTGAAAAAAAAAGACGCTTTGAAGACATCTAACTTTGCATCTAATTCGAACAATTGAACTTTGATAGTGGTTTAAGATCCAAACACAGCAGATAAAAAAAAATATAAAGTACTTTCCTTACGACATTTAATCAGTACACAATAAGCACCAGTACTAAGAACACAGTAGGTTTACATGTGGCTAGAGACAGAAAGCGATGGGAGGGCAACATAAAAGAATGGACGGGCCTACCATTGATAGAGGTTTTAGACAAGGTAAAAGACAGGGAGGAATGGAGAAAGACGGTTGACAAATCTTGCCTAGCGCCCCAACGGTCCAACAGGCTAAGGGATAGGTAAAGAGGCGACTGGGTGTCTAAGCCGCGGCCAGCGTACTACAATACGATCCGGACCACAAGTTGCGATTAATAAAGATAATGGTGGACACCTGTCCCAGAAGTAGAGAAGTAAAGTTTTCAATTCCAACTTTGTGATTTATAGGTCAACTGTTTCTGTGGCCCACGGTTAACGAGGGTGTCTGTCATGTGGCCGGCACAACGACGAACAGCTTTTACTTCCCCAACTAAAGTCAGGTACCTATTAAAGTAAAGCTAGGTGGATATTACGAAATCCCAGTCTTCATCAGGATTCGAACCCGGACCCTTTGGTTCGGAAGCCAAAACGCTTTACCACTCAGCCACCTGTCCTAATGTATTCAGTTTGATAATGCATCGAAAGACTGAACTCACGAAAGCGCTGGTTGATTGTATTTGCAGGCAGTTAAAATATTTATTATAAATGTTTAGCCTACAGGCACAATCATAATTAGTATGAATTATTTTATTATGATCCGACATTTTTCAGACTTATAAAAAGGCATAAGGGCTCGAAGTACATTAGAAAAACGGTAAAGAGTTTTAAAAAAATGTGCTGGGGCTAGTCAGTAGCGTTCCTACTCTGGTGCAAGGCCTCCTCAATCACAGTCCCGAAGGTCAAGGTGCTAGGGGTCTGAACTTTTACTGATGTACCAACAGCATGTAATATATAACTGTTATAAAGCAAAAGAAAGTTTATTTCTAAAGCTATTGTTATATAGGCTACACCTAATCAATTTGAAATGAACACTTAACAAACTTTGAAAAGTGGAAAATATAGGCAGCTGGACTTCACAGCAATAAACAATTGAAAATGAAGTCTTTCCGGTAAGTGATGTTAAAAAACATTACAAAGAGAGTTTGTTTAATCACAAAAACTCAGAAGTGGCCCCCACCGTATTCGCCAGTGGACAAGTAATATTCAAACCATGCTAAGAAATGAAGAGCATTTTTGGAAAATCTTTAGACTTTTTTTTCACATCAAAACCTGAACAACATATTAATTTATTAAAGATAATAAGGTTTCTGACATTCATTACTTACTTTGCCAAAAGGAGAAATCTTTTTAATAATTTTTCTAAGGGTATTGTCTTTAAAAGTTGTTGTTTTTTTTTTTACACCTATGATCAGTAGACATGCTGCATCAAATATATTTTAAGCCTTTTTAAAATATTTTTTTTAGTGTGAATGTCCTCCTCTAGACGGGAAGATGTTTTATAACAAAAACTGATATCTCATTCATAACAATGTATCAAATATATATTTGTTTTATTTTTTCTTTTTCTTATTTTTAAGGGATTTTGTAACGGGCAAGAATGAGTTCCCTTTTCAAGTATACCAGGAAATATGTTGGCCCAGTCCGTGCTTGCATCTTGGACTGGAGCGGCACCACGATTGACAAGTACGTCCTTGCGCCGGCCCTGGTGTTCGTAGAGGTCTTCAAGAAGCACGGCGTCGCCATCACCATGCCCGAAGCCAGGGCGCCGATGGGCGTCAGAAAAGATATGCACATTAAGGCCATCCTGGAGATGCCGGAAGTTCGCGCCAAGTGGAAATCGGTGCACGGGAGTTTCCCAACGCAGGCAGACGCGGACAAGCTCTACGGCGATTTAGTTCCCATGCAGCTTGGCGTACTGCTGAAATACACGGAACTGATCCCAGAATGTGTCGGGGCTGTCGACACCTTGAGGAAAGAGTTCAGCTGCAAAATCGGGGTCACAACTGGCTTCACCAGAAGTATGGTCAATGTTTTGCTCCCTGAAGCTAAGCGGCAAGGATTTGTTCCGGATGCCAACGTGGCAGGCGACGACGTGGTGAATGGGTCAAGGCCGAAGCCTTTCATGCTGTACGCCAACCTCGACGCCATGGATGTCCCAAATATTCAGTCCGTGGTTAAGGTGGACGACACCACAAACGGCGTGGAGGAGGCTCTGTCTGCGGGTTGCTGGGGCGTCGGCGTGGCGCGTTACAGCAATTACATGAACATCAACAGCCTTGAGGAAGAGAAATGTCTTTCGGAGGCTGAGATCAAAACGAGGCTCCAGAGAACACGTGACATTCTGACCAAGGCGGGCGCACACTATGTCATTGACACGCTTGCAGAGCTGCCATCAGTTGTGTCGGACATTAACGTCAGGTTGGCCAAAGGAGAAAAGCCTTGACCACATTAAACGCCACTGAATACGAGAACTACATACCTGAACTTTATAATACAAACCCTTCCGATCTGACTCACTATACACATGCGTTATTATTTTCAAAGACCATGTTACATAACCCGCTCAGATTGATAGTTCTATGCCAAATACTTAGACCTAAAAATATTGTTCTTTCAGTAAAAAGCATATCACTTTTTTAAAAAAGATTGTTTATAAGAAACAGAATGAAATGTCATCCAAAGATAATAAAGATCTATGAAACAAAGAACGATAAATTGTTGTATCTCATTATCATAAGTTGAGTTATCCTACTTGAATGTTTTTTTGTCAAAGTTTGTTTTCATGTATGTTTTAAAGCCAAATTTAAATATTGTAACGGAATTAAATTTACTTGATTAAAAATATCTTGCGTACTAAATAGCACAATGCCGTATGTTGTATAATAGATGAGATTCAAAGTGCTAGTTATCTGGTCTTGTATGTGCTCTATACTGCCATCTTAATGGTGCGGCTTGAACCCTGTCCACTGGCCTACCTATCCCCCTTTTTCCAGGTTATCCTGCAGGAGATTTCGGCTAATGTTATATTCAACTCTGAGCATGCCGACCGTAGGCAAACTAGACATCCGCCTTGGGCCTCACAATGGTGACTGCCTCGCACAGAACAAAACAAATTTTAGGTAAAAAAAAAAGCTAAACTTGGATTAGATCTCAAACATAACAGAATGACTCTTATATTTGCTCTGTCTCTCCTGCGGAAATAGCGTAATAAGAATTCCAATTATTTGTCATTCTAGATATAAAAAGGCAGGTTTTTAATAAATTGCTTGGTTTAATAATGTATTTTTCTGTTTATTACTTTTTTTTTTTAATATTTCATTTGGGGCCACCAAATTCACTTCGCCTAGTGCTTCCGATTATGCAAGACCAGCCCAGTCTTGAGGAGCATCCCAAACATTTGATCAAGAAGACAGTGGCGTAGCTAGGGAAGGGGGGGGGGAATTTGAAAATTCCCCCGGCCCCCATTTGTTGGGGGCTACAAGATGAGTGTTTTTTACATTAAAAACTAAATATTACACAAAACGCAGGGGCCCCCAAAGATGTCAAGCCCTCCACTGGGCCCCCAAATGATGGAAAATTCCTTGCTACGCCCCTGCAAAACGATGTTATTGGCACAAATAGATTAAAACCACGCGCGTTAGAAATCAGATGAACTGGTCAAATTACACAACTTTGTTTAAAAAAAACTCTTTAATTCCCTTTCATACACGTAGACTAGTAAATAAATCATGCATTAACGAACGAAGGGTGTTTTTATTGGGGGCTGGGGGTGGTGAAGAGTGTTCTGAGAGTCAGGTTCAAGTTCACTTTGACTTTGTGAAAGTGTCAATGAAGAATTGAAGCAACAGTCTGAACGAACAACAAAAAAGCACACCCTATTTTGTTAACTCTATTTGATAATGCAACACAAACGCAGGGAAAAGGGGGTGACAAACATTTAATTTTACTTGCACCTATGGTGATATCTTTAAAAACAAATTGCATTATTGCATTCGAGGTTGATCTATTAATAGGTTCAGGGCCGCCGCGAGGGTTATGGCCGCCTGCGTGCGAAATTAAAAAAGCTGCCCCCCCCCCCTTACTTTTTTCCATGTTTAGAATCGAAAGTAACGTAATGAAATTTCAATTAAAAACTGTCCCCCCCCCTTTTTTTTGTGACATAGTGTTGCCTACATAATTTTAAAGCGTTGTAAAAAGTTCTTTCTGGAGATAGAATTGGAGATGCAGCAGGTTTCAGCTCAACCCGCCAAGGGGCATGATTCATGGGCGGGGCCCTGACACTGAGCTTATTCTGGCGTTTTCAACTTCAGAAATTCTTTATCCTGGCGCCTACAAAGCCTTTTTTCTCGTAATAAGAAGAGGGAATATTTTTAAAAGGCCAATATTGAAGTGTTTTCTTTTCGAACGGACCTTTATTTCACACAAAAATCGTTACTATAAAGAAATGTAATAGTCGGAAGAAATTCGAAAGTCTGAGATAAGAAAACCCAGAAGAATCACACTAGCGGAGACGTCAGGGCCGGCCTTAGGCCATTGCAACCTATGCGGCCGCAGTGGGCCTCCACTTTCATAGGCCTCAAGCTAATTGTAGGTGTAAATTATTAAATTAAACCATTATAGCCGCTGCCTCCAGATTTTTCAGGAGCTCCTGGAAATCTCCTGAAATTATTAAAATATCCCCGAAAAATAAAAAAAATCTTGTTAAGAATAGACGAAAATGTCATTTTGGGGTGTCATTCAATACGGAAAACGTCAATACTACACGCGATAAGAACTGAAAAAAAAACACTACATTGTCAGCTTTTATATTAATAAAAATGTAATGCAAAGAAGAATTTATTTTCGAATCCAAATTCTTAATTTTCACCTGTTATCCTTATCCCTACCAGATCTGACTCCGCGCAATCGGTTTCGCATAGGGCCTTGCCATTGTTAGGGCCTGCTCTGGACAACGTTTAGACATGTTTTCTTTAAAATGTTTTTACACATATTGTTGCCTACGCCTCTCGCGGGTCTACATTTGACAAGGTCTTAGTAGAAGATGAAACGATGTCTCTATTTTAATTTTTAAACATTGGCAATAATGTAATTTTACTAATATTATTAATTCATTAATAACTACAATAAAATGAAACTTTTTTTTTGCCACCCCCCCCCCCCTCCTTTGTTGTTGGTTGGTCGTTGGCTTATATTTTACAAATGTATGTAGATCTACATCTATAATCACCCAAAAATTTTTCTACGCTTCACTAACGGTCATTTTTTAACATATAAATAATATAATTTTAAAATTGACATTTTGTAATGACTAGATCTGCTTATAAGACTAAACGACAATATTTCTATGCAGTAAGTAGATACTAAGAAGAAAACATTAACAAATGTGTTAAACTGATCTTCTTATGTAAGAAGCGTTATTTATTGCAGATCCAAAACAAATATAAAAAACAATCCGCGAAAATTCAAGGTCTATAAGGATTAGGCGCTTATAGAAAAACCCCGTGGGAATCTTTCGTTTGCCGCTCTATTTTTTTTTTTTTTTTTTTTCATAAAGTTTCCAAAATAACTTTCATGAACGAATATCTTTTTTTTTTGTTAGTTTTTAAAGGATAATGGAATAATTAGAATTTATATTAAATTATTTAAAAATATTGAAGTAATTTTTTTATTAAACAAAAAATTTAAAAAATATATATAACCTTGGAATATTGATTTGGCCGCCCTCTAAATTCGGCCGCCTGCGTGCAATGCACACATTGCACAATAGGTAGCGGCGGCCCTGAATAGGTTATAATACTGAATGTACCCCTGAATCTGAACATAAGTATCAACAAAGAATTAGAATGGTTATATTTAAATTGACCTTATTTAGATCAGTTTTTTTTTTAAGACTATAGATTTAATATAGTGGTACACAATCAAAACAAGCTAAATAATGGATAACCGTATCTTTCTATAATAAGATAAGATAAACTAGCTTTTATCGATCCAATGAAATGGAAATTCAGTTTGACTACGATTGACAACATCACCGTAACTACTGTACAATAACAAATTAGATGCACAATATAGATGCACATACGAACGACATTCACACACGAAAAACACATACACACTCATAACCAGCGCTTTATAAATAGACTTCTATGAATTTCTCGATGATGACAAAATGTTAATTTTTAATGTTGGTCATCCAGGGTATATTATTACTGAATGTTTCAATTTTCTTCTTGGGTACAATCATGTTTTCACAGAACTGGATGTACGAATTAACAGTTGTGATAAGTTCATCTGTCTGGGCAGTTGTTTATAAACATGTCCCAATCTGTTTGCTCCAGACAACTTTGTAGCCGTAGAACAGCGTCGTCAGACCATGACCTGATGGACTGTACTTCGGGTTTTGTTGTTTTTAAAACCGGTTTGTACGTGGGTGTAAGATGGATCATTGTATGGTTGGACTCTCCTAGGGGAAATAACGATCGAGATGTGTTGGCCTTTTTTGACACATGTCCAAGGTTTTATCGTGCCTTGTGGGACAATTAACATATTGAGTATATGTTGGCAAGTGTTGAGCTAACGAAAGATGATTGAAATCCCCCATAATGTAGAAGTTATTAAAAAATAGCTATATAAAGCATCGCACTAATGAATGAGTATGGGAGAAATAACGAGTTCAAGTATCTCAGTAACTGAGAGTAATTTCCCTTGTTGGTATCAAACAAAATAATTAACTGCCAATATTTAATCGTTGTTGGAGAAATAGCGTATACAAAAATTTTACCAGACAGACAGAGTATAATTGTTGGGGAAAACAGGTGAAAAGTCTATAAATGAATGTTCAAAGAAACATTGCAACAATCTCACTTTTTTCCATTCAACAAAAACTCACAATACAATTTACATTTGTAAAAAGATAATAAGAAGTGGTTTAATGGCTAGAATTGGATTTAACTAAGACTCGAGTATTACTAGGAAGACAACAGGCCTTGAAACTCCGCAAGCCCTCCGTAGAGATTACTCTGATATAGTCTGATCTCACACCAATGTAAGGAACATTCTCACCCTCGCATAGCAATAGTAGCAATATTTCTATTGTTTTTGCATCTGTTGTCAATACAATGAATTCTGCCAGACCACGATTATACAGACCTATATTTGAAGCTACAGACCTATATTTGAAGCTACAGACCTATATTTGAAGCCACAGATCTATATTTGAAGCTACAGACCTATATTTGAAGATACAGACCTATATTTGAAGCTACAGACCTATATTTAAAGCTACAGAATAATATTTGAAGCTACATACCTATATTGGAAGTTACAGGCATTTGAAGCTTGACAGGTTCTAAAATTGAATTTGTAAACTTTTGGTGAGCCAATGGATATCCTCTGCTTGGACACTTCTGAAGCTGCAACTTTGTTACTTTCAAGATCTTAGACTGTACAAGAGAACGTACCGGGGTAATACACATAGATCAATATTTATCTCTCGGTGACATCGAAAATTAGCTCTAACCCTAACCCTAACCCCAGCTCTAGTACTGACTAAATAAAAAATATTCTTTGTAATAAGAAATGCATTGAATTCAGTTCATCTATGTTCATCATGAATCAGCAGGTCAAACTAATATATATTTAGTATACAGGTATTCAGGGCTGTTATTCTCTTTTGCAGTGGCAACAGATTTATTTTTAGTAGATCTAG